CGAGGTGCTTCACCGCCTTGGTGTTCCCCTCAGCGAGTCGGAGCGGGCCTGGCCTTGCCTTGGCTGTGCTGAGGGTTAGTCTGCGTTGCCACGCTCTGGTAAAGCTCTGGATTAGCACCTAAACCAAGCGCCTAACTCAGCGGGTACTCCTCTGCGCTGATGCAAGTTGTTTAGGCTTTTTATTTGCCTTTTCCATCCTGTAAATTTCGCAGAGGCTCCTGCTGTGCTGTGCGCTCACCCCTGGTTTGCCTTACAGGTGACCAAAGCGGTCCGAGCTGGGGAAGTCGACGCCAAGACCCGTCGCCAGATCTTTGACGCAATTGGATTCACGTTTCCGAATCGCCTGCTCGCCTCCCGGCAGCCCCCGGCGGGCTGCCCCGACCACACCTTCCGCGCCCTGGGCCTCACTCTCTTGGCATGTTTCTGCACTGATCCCGAGTTAGCTGGGCACTCCCAGATCCTGAACAAAATCCCAACCTTCAATGACGTCCTGGTTTCCCCCTGCGATCCGGACAGCACGTCCATGATCGATGATGTATATCAGTGCCTGAGCGCAGTCCTGGCCACTGCCAGGGGCCCCAGGGAGTTGGTGACCAAGGGGACAGTGTCTGCCCTGTGCCAGGCCTACCTGAACTGCGGTTACGGCTCTGACCGTGCCTTGACACTGCTCCTGGGGCTGTTGGCCATAGCAGAGGCGAAGTGCTGGCAGAGGGACGCTCCACACCTCCTGGCCGTGCTGAGCAAGCTCTCCGATGATTTTCTCAAGAGCGAGGACATAACCAAATTTGAGCTGTGTGAGATTCTGCCTCACTTCATTCCCCTGTCGCCACCTCTCTCGCAGGACTCGCAGGGCTCCGAGTGCCTCCATAGACTTTACAAAGGGCTGGCTAATGTTTTGGCCAGTAAACTCAGCCAGTCGCAGCGGGACCCTGCTCTGAAGCTTGCTGCCTGCCTCGTGCAGGCCTGCGGGTCGGAGTGGATCCCAGCAGGGAGTGATGGAAGCAAGTTCCTGGCCTTGCTGGTGAACTTGGCTTGTGTGGAGGTCCGCCTGACCCTGGAGGAGCCAGATCCCGTGGAGGTGGAAGGGAAAAAAGAAGTGGTAACAGCCTGCTATGTCCTTATTGAGATGGGGATCCAGGAGTGCCTGAGAGAAGAGAAACCGATGCTAGAAGAGGTGCAGAAAATGCAGCTGATGAGGATCATGGAGGAGGCATTTGGAGCTGTAATATTCTACCTGAGACAGGTCATGCAGGGCTTTCAAGCTAACGGCATGTTTTGGGGGTGTTTGTCTGGGAGGCTCAGCAGCTCACGGCCATAGCTGTGTAGAGCAAAATGAGCATCCTGGCCCACTGGTTTTCCCGCCTGCAGTAGCTCGATAGAGCAGAGGCCTAACGTGTCATTTTCTGTCTGCTTTCTTCTTCGTGCAGGTTAAAGAGGAGGAGTTACAAGATCCTTTCATATTTGCTTCTGTTCGAGTCCTTGGAGCCTGGATGGCAGAAGAGACATCCTCCCTCAAGCAGGAAATCTGTGAGCTCTTGCCTTTCCTTGTTCATTATGCCAAGAAGCTTTTCCAAGAGGGCAGCCCAACTGCAAGCCTTCCCCAGCCAGAGCTGATCAGCACTGAGGGCTCTGCCTTACCCCCGGATGCTCTGAGGTGCGTATTTTAAGCCCAGAGTCGATCCATTTTACCACAAACCTGCTCAAATCTTTTTCTGTATTCCGTTCTCCCTGCAGTGCCAATTCTGTGTCTCTTTTTCCCCTCCAGTTGGATGTAAACACAAGGCTTAGACCCATTCTACCTCACATTCTCAATTTCTTTCCCTTTCCAGGTTTCTGCTACCTGGCTTTTGCCATTTAACAGCAGAGGACAGACCCCGGGACATCCTTGTCTCAGAAGGGGCACCAGCACTGCTCTGCGAGTACTTCCTGCATCAGTGGGGGGTGCTGACCTCCAAGCCCGGGTCTCTGGCTCCACTGACCAGCGCTGAAATGAGTCTACAGACCACGTGTGGGATTTTCCTTAACCTGGTCGTGACTGCGCCGGACCTCATCAGGTGACAGCAGGAGCTTGCTTTAAGATTGTCAGTGGGAGGAAAGAGAGGATGCACTGTGAAATGAGCTTGCAGGATCTTTTGAGACACTGTGCTGGAAAAGGGGATGTCTCTTTTTTAACATCAGTTACTTTTTTTTGGTGCTGCATTTAACCTTGATGCTTTCAGGTGCTTCTGGCAAATGTCTCAGCATTCACTTTCCCCTCTAGGCAAGACAAAACCTTTTCCTCCTTGATGGATGTGCTGCTGAAGTCTCTTCCGCTTCTCCTGCCCCAGAAGGATCACCTGGTTCTAACAGCCAACATTGCCACTCTGGGCCTGATGATGGCCAGGATCCTCGCGAGTTCAGCAGGTGAGAGGAGTTGCTGCTGGCAGAGCCACGTGTTGCTCCACGCGGGCAGAGACCAGGGTCGGGGTGGTCGGGAAATACAAGGGAAACATTTGCTTCGGTTTCCACCATGGGAAAAACACCAGAACCAAAAACCTGGAGGAGCCAGGAATATGCAAAAAAAATTCAGCAGGCCGAGGGGCTGGGATTGAGGGATTTGTAGGGTAGGAGGATGGTTTGTGCTCTTGCTGGAAGCCCTGCTGCAGGCAGACCCGCCAAAGGGTCCCTCCCTCGGCCGAGCGAGCTCTGGATCAAGTAATTTCCTTTTTCTTCCAGTTCTTCAGGGCACACCATCTGCCAAGGAGTTTTTCGGAGCCGCCCTCCAGTTCCTATCCCAGGCTCACACCGCCCAAGCAGAGCCTGGTGGTGGCTGGGCCGTGGCCGTGTCACCTGCCTACGCCAGCGCCTGGGCGGACGTGAGCGAGCTCTGGTTCCTGGGGATGCAGGCGCTGGCCGGCTGCGTGCCGCTGCTGCCCTGGCTGCCGCAGGCCCTGCTGCAGGGCTGGCTGCAAGACCTCTCCCACTTACTGACCCGCGTCGCTCCAGCCTCGCTGGATTTTGAACTGGTCGCCGCTTTCCAGGGCGTGTTGGTAGAGCTGGCCAGAGCCAGCACCTCGTGCCGGGCCGCGATCCTGGCGCACCACGGCCGGGAGTGGGCCAACCTCTACGGGATGGCGGCGCTGGAGCAGGGTCTGTCCAAGCCCTGAGGAGCCGGCAGCACCCTGGGGTGGGACACCAAGCCCTGCACAAGACCTGGTCAACATTTCTCATGCACCCTTTGGTGGCAGATGGGGACAAAACCCATTTAAACGGCCACACTTTAGGGAATGGGTGACCCAGCAGCGCTCGGCGGGATTCGCACTATCCACAGCCTGACGTGCAGAACTGTCGCTGCCTCGGAACGTTTCGACATGCGCCTGCTTGACCTGTCAGTATTTCTTCTTAAAAACAGGCTGGTTTATTATTAAAGAAGTTTTCTGTTGCTTGGTTTTTCAAACTCCTGCAGTGTTGGGATTTATTTCTCCCCGGGGCCCTGAGAGGTTGCCTGCATAACACACTCCCCAGTTTTGTCACTGTAAGCCCTTCAGGATGTCACCTTATTTTATGTCAGAGGCCTGCACCTGTTAGTAAAGTAACTTGGCACTCCGTGTAGAGCCTGAAAAAGGCAGGAATAGGAGGAGCTTTAATATCCACTGACAACAGTGAGGATAACTGTAACTTGGCACAGACCTGTCCCCTCCTGCTGCGAGGATGCACAAAGGCCCTTCTCCCGTGCTGCAGGACAGCCCCCCCCTGCTCACACCCGCCCCTGGTACCATCATCCCAGGGTCATGCCCAGGAAACCTTCGCAGCACCGCTGCTCGCTGTTGAGCCCTGCCCTGCGAAACACCAGCACGAGGCTTGGCCGACGGGGGTCTGTGTCTGCTGAGACTCCCACCCGCTCCGGGCGTGGGGTGTACGGGGGGAGTTTTACTTTGTGAGGCAAAGGGTTCAACCTGCAAAGGCCTGGGAAAAAAAAAAAAAAAAAGATTTAAAACCGCTGGGTACAGATTGTGAAAGCAGAAATGAGTGAATTACACCTCGGCAGCTCCCTGCTGACCGAGGAGTAGTTTGTCTTACGGGAGAGAAAGGAGTAAACCACTTGTACCGCTGGCCTGGCAGCCAGGGCTGCCCGCTCTCGGGTACCCCCAGAGCTGAGCTTAACCCCCCCCGACAGAGCAGCAGCGGCTCGGTGCTGGGCGGAGGGCAGGCGGCTGCTGCCGGGCCGGGCGGGTTTTCCACCAGGTGTCAGCCGAGGAGCAAGTTGGGAGCAGCAGCCCCGGCGGTCCCGGAGCAAAGCGCCGAGCCCGGCTGCTCTCCAGACGCTGGCTGAGGGGCTGCGCAACCGTCCGGCGGTGAGAAAATCCAGCGAGGAGCTGCCCCAAACCCAGGGCTGAGTCTGGGCGTGTGTCCCGGCTTCAGACCGAATTTTTTAGCTGCTGCTTTGTGAACGCAAACGCCTCGCACAAAGCGGAGAGGAGGCGCCAGCTATTGCTCGGGAAAAGTGTCGCTCCGATCCTTCCAGCTCCGTCCTGAGGAGTTAATGCAAGTTGCAACAAAGGTGGGTGCTACCAGAAGAAAGCGATGCAAGCCAAAGAGGCAAATGAGCCTCCTGGCCTCGGAAAAGAGCGTAACTCTGGGTGAGCGTGGGCTGGGAGAGCCTCCCCGTCCCGCCAAGAACACCTCATCCCTGCACCGCGGGGAAAGATCAGGGCCTTGGGAGGGTCAGAAACACGGTTCAGATTGTCAGAAAAAAAACCCTCCAAACCCTCACGCGATTTACCTTCAACTATTCCCAGTCCCATACGCTTCTGGTCAAAGGCTTCCCATTAAGGAGAGGCTGCCGTTAGTGCTCTCCTCTCCCCAGTGTTGCACCAGTTAGCAGCGCTGGCTTGGCCGTCACCCATCCCCACGGGCTAGGAGCTCCCACGACACCTGACTGCAGAGCCGGTCCGGGCCTGCAGGACCCATCCAAGAGCCATCCAAGACCCGGAGGCCTCTGGCTGCTGGTCATTAATTCCCAGGCAAACTTGGGAGCAAAATGAGAGTCCGGGGAAACCCTCCAGATTATCCTCCAGCACGTCCCGGGGCGGTGGGGTTTGGCCACCAGCAGATGCCTGGAGAGGAGCACCCATCCCTCACCCTCCTGCTCTTCGGTGGAATGTCCCCTCGGGTGTGTGAAGGCCCATCCGTGCCTTGGCAGAGGCCCTGAGGGCTTGTCCTATGCTCGTTCCTTTGTGTAACACCAAACACCCTCCTCTTGGCTGCCCACGGGCTGAGGCACCGGCCTTGCCCTGGGGTGTTACCAGCCTGAATGCCAGAGGGGATGATGCCTTGTGTGGATGCCGGGGCTGCTGGAGCAATCTCGCTGCTCTCTCGTCCCAGGACACCACTTTCCAAACACGTCCTCGGGAGGAGCACCCCGAAAAGGCGGGTTTCCCTCCCCGAACCCCCCGGGCTCTGTCACAGGGAGCGCAGTGCGTTGAGGCCGGGAGAGCACAGGAGCTCCTGCCACGTGGGCTCTGCCCGTGCCAGGCTGCGGGTCCCGGTGTGCTCGGGGCGGCTCAGCCCAGCGCAGGGGAGAGGGTGCCCCAGCAGCCCAGCCAAGGCCGCGGGGTGACTCCTTGGCCACCCCGAGCTTTACAAGCCCGGCCACAGGTTCTGCCACGGGCAACTGGCATCTGCGGGCATCGACCGCCTCGTGCCGGAGGGGTGGGTGATGGCATCACCCAGCGTCTGCCACAGCGCTTCGGGATCCCAGCACGGGGTGGGACTGCAGCCAGCAGCACCCAGAGCAAACTGTGCTTTGCCTCCCAGTGCAGGGCGAGCTCTCCAGGAACGAGTCGATCGTTCGTCGTGGCTTGGACAAGATGGATAAAGGCCCCAGAGGAGCAGACGCACGCTCTGTTTCGCTTTGACAGCTTAAATGTCCTAACGCCATTGCAAACCCGACTGTGCCATACGTTACCTTACGGTGTTTATTCATATCGCCCCAAAAGCACTGGTGATAAAACTAAATATTTCATCACGTTGTTATTTGGCTGCTGCGCTGCAGGAACCAAGCACCACCCCCTCCCACAAACCTCTTGCCGCGGGATGCAGCAGGGCTGGCGGGGCCTGAGCAGCGAGGGGGGGCTGCCCACCCCTCAACGGGATCCCCGTCCTTCTTCCCAGAGCCCTGCCTGGCTCTCCAGCCCCACAGCAAGGAGCTTCCTTCCCCACCGGGATTCCCCAGGGAGGGGGTGTGGGAAATGATAGGAGCAGCCTGTGTTTTTTTCTGAGGGGTCACTGGGAGCCAGGCTTTTGGGGAAAAAACAGTTCATCGGCTTGGGCAGGGAGCCGTGCTCAGTACTTTTGTTTCCATGCTCCCCCTGCCCTGCTCGGCAGGGGTTTTTTTCACTGCTGACCCCCAAAAGCAGAGGCTGCTGCCTCAAGCCCCTCATGCTCCTGGAAGAGCCGACACACACATTGATCTCCCTGGGAAGGAGTGCTCAGACCTTTGTTACAAAACCAGTTTTTCAGAGATTTCTGGCTTGGGTACAAATGCGACAAGTGGTCCCTGGGGTGGAGCCGTGGCCCACACCGCCAGCCAACACGCTCCCCATAGCTGGGGGGCGAGGGGGCAGGTCTCACGTTGAAAACCTCAGCGCCATCGCGTCTCTCTGTTAGCAAACATGAAGGATGTTTGGCGGAGCAAGACACGAGCACCACTGGATGCTCACGCAGCCCTTAAACCGGGAGGCTAAAGAGCAGGTAGCGGAGAGCTGCGTTTGAGCTGAACCAGTAACAGCACCAGGCAGCTGCTGGGACAGCGTGTGTGCGGCACCCAGTGTGACAGCCCGCGGCCCTGCCTGGGCCCGCGGGACAGCGGGTTAAAAGATGAACTGTCCCTTGTCACCACTGGTGGCTCAAGGGCTGCCCCATGGGAGGCCCGTGGGTTTGGTTTACCTTCCTCACCGGGTGGGTGAAAACGTTCCCAGCAAAGCTGTCCAGAGGGGCATGGGGCAGGGAGGGACTCGGGCAGGTCTCAGGCGTCGTGCCAGGACAGTTTGGGTGCTCGCGGGGCTCCGAGTGCGTTGCTGGGCAGGACCTGAGGGCTGGGAAGATGCCGCTCGTGCTCCCAGTGGAGAGGGTGCCAGGGCGGGGGGCTGGGGGCTGCGCAAAGCCGGAGGGAGAGGAACGGTCAGAGCCCGGACACACACAGCCCTCGCTCTTGGCTGCTGCCGGGTCCTTTGTCCCCTTCCTGGGC